TTACGTCACCCCTAAACCCACCCCTTCTGGGGAAGGGGTTAGGTCGATTCTCGACCCCTTAATCCTTCCTTAAAGGGGCGTGGCACCTGTCAAAATGAGTTTGAGGAATGCTAGTCCCTTATACCACTCACTCATTCTTTCTTATGCTTAATCATTTTTAGACTTTTGTGGGGTCATTTCCTGATAGTGTTCAATTAGTCAGGGGTCTTGGGCCAATTTTGTCTGAGCTCAGTCCATCCTACCCTGGTCTTGATGTGGGTGCATGTTTGAACCCTTCTTCTCTCGTGTTCTTCTCTGCTGTCCTGGTCTATAAATTTAGCAATGAAACGAACATTTATCAAATAAATAATTGGTGGCAACTCTTAAAGGGGCAGTGGGAAATGAAATTGCCCAGTGCTGGAAAGATGCTCAGGATCTCACCTAGAAGCAAAGATATATGAATAAAATATATAGGCAGTGGTACTGATGGAGAAACTGACTAATCGGCATCAGCTAGACATAAAAATGCAACGATGAGCCATGGAAGAGACTACCTCCAAAGATAAAAAGATAATGTGAACATTGTGTATATATGAAGGCATAAGTTTTTATGAAAAAGAAAATTACTAGTATTGAACTACAATAGGTATTGTTCTGTTATGCTATTTTGAATGGATTAATAAAAAATTTTTTTCTAAAAAATATAAATTTATATTGGGTAAGCCTGTTCTTGTGGTACAGAACAACTCCTGCCTTATTTCAGTTTCTACACAATCGGTTGCTGGTTTTGGCTTCTCTTTAGTGGCTTCTAGTGTTGGTGTGCTTGGTACTTACCCTGGGGTCCTTCTCCACTTCAACTGACTCCTGTCTTTTCCAAAGTTGGGGCTGGCTGGCTGCTGGTGGACAGGCTGTAGGGCTTGGTTTTGGCTGTGTTTCTGTCTGGCCATGTTTGTTTGTTTGTTTGTTTGTTTGTTTATTTATTTATTTATTTATTTAACTTATATGCCACCCACTCTACCCAAAGGTCTCTGGGCGGCTTACAACAATTAAAATACAGTAAAATGATAAAATATAAATTTATCAAATAAGAATCAGACCATGTAGGTGGAGGAAACAGTAAATTCCATTGCAGATGTATTCGTTGTGTTCTGTTACAACATCTCAGTTCTCTGTCAATGTATTTTTAAATTCTGATATGTCATAGTAAAGATAGATACATGCAGAATTAGATTTCCATAATTCTGTCAGAAAACAATCAGTTGACAAAAGGACTTGAATGACTGGCATACATTATCCCATTATTTTAAAATATGAGTGCATTTTAAGTTGTCCTATTGTCTGTTTAGACCATTTGGGGCTTGAACATATTACTGTTTTACTCTATGCGACCACAGAAGTAGGACAGATAAATAATTGTGAGGATAGATAAAGAATGGCATGCTCTTTGTGTATGCTGAAAAGCATTATTGTAGATGCATTCTTCTCCCCTCTTACCTAGAATAGATCCATTGAATTCAGTGAGACCTAGAGTACATTGAATTATGATGGAACCATGGAAGTACAGTAGGACCTATATATACCCACTTTATAGTATACACCTTAGGGTGTATTTACCAGAACTGGACACTAGAAGGAGTCAGAAACCTTGCAATATATAGCCTTTGATACTTCTGCATTTTCCAGCATCCACTTTAGAACTTGGAACTGATCCTTTGCGGATCCTATTTTATTTTAAATCAGTGTTGAAATACTTAGTGTGCATGTGTGTGTATCTAGGTGCCGTAAATTGCCCCGAGCTTTGAAGGAATGGCAAGCCTTTCTAGACCTAAAGAAGACAATCGATGACTTCAATGAATGTTGCCCTTTGCTTGACCTCATGTCCAACAAAGCCATGATGTCACGTCACTGGAAACGCATCACTGATCTCACTGACCACAGTTTTGATGTTGAAAATGAGACTTTCAAATTGAGAAACATCATGGAAGCACCTTTGCTGAAATATAAAGAAGAGATTGAGGTACTACAGACAGGTTTAAGATGGATACAGTAGTAATGACATGGCAGCATCCCCAGTACTGATGTGTGGGTTCAATATATTCTCCTTTCCACTCTACCCAGTCCTAAAGAATATATTGACATCTCATTTTCCATATTCTGCAACAGAACAACTGAAGGTACACTTACAAATTATTTTGTTAGATTTAGGATAGTAGCATGTATCTACTCACTTGCTCAAAGGATTTTTAAAATTAAGATACGGTACTTCTATAAAAAACAGAAACTGAGCTTGTATAAGAAACAGAATGCTGAACACCTTCAGTCAAAGCCACAGTGATCACTAAAAGCCTGTTCTTAGTGCATGCTATTTGTGCTTAGCTACTGGGACATTGTTTCCATCTTGTGGTAGCAGCCAAAAGATGTGGCACAAGGGAGGGCATGGAAACGATATGTTTACAAACTTGAATTGTGCACTTAGGAGCAGAGGGATTTTAACTGACGGTCAAGAACAGATAAATGTCTACTGAATGCTGACTTTATTTGTTCATCTGATAGATACTCATTGCTGTTGCATTGTGACTTTGCTGCAGTGAGCTCCCAGAAGCACAACTCAGCTTTCCACATGGTCTCTGCTTATCTAGGTCAGTCTTAACGCTTGAATAGATTCCCCAAAAGAAGGGAAGCAGTCCTTGTTTCAAGGTAGCATTTTATGATAAAACTTCTCATCCTAAAGAAAGGAAACTCAGATCACCAATGAGCCATCTCATCCCAAACATGAGCATATGGTTAATTCTGTTTTGTACCTTGATTCGTCCCAAATTGCAAGAGGTGAGCTCTTTGGTTTTGAAAGAGAGAAAACCCTGCCAACAAGAGCATTAAGTCCATTAAACACAATGGTTGAAATTCTGGTAGATGTGATATGCCAGTGAAACAGGAATGATGTTGTAATTAACAGCAGATTGCCATGAATTTCGACTGGCCTCACAAGGTGGAAGAAATTACTTGATAGCTGGACATTGAAAATGGGCCCTGAGTACAGACTTCTAATGATCACTGTGGTTTCGATTTAGGTATTCATCTTTGTTCCTTACATAAGTTCAGCTTCTGATTATTATGAAAGTACCTTAATTTTAACAACCCTTTGAGCAACAGAGGCACTATTATTTTTGGGAACATAGCTTTAATCATAACATGTTTAACTCTTTGTTCCTTTTTTTTCCTTTGGAGAATTTTCCTGCCTCTGAAAGCCTAGGAGCACATAGATATTAATGTTGGCAAAAGAAAGACTGTCTTTACTGACAAGCATCAGGGAAGGAGAAAATAATGTCAGGGAAGGGAAGATTTCATGCTGAAGTTGTTAAGTTCTCACTGCAGTAATTCTTGGACTGATTTGCTAGGATATCTGCATCAGTGCAATGAAGGAGAAGGAGATTGAACAGAAACTGAAACAAGTGATTGCTGAGTGGGACAACAAAACGTTCACTTTTGCCACCTTTAAAGCCCGAGGGGAGCTGCTGTTGAGGGGAGACAGCACTTCTGAAATAATTGCAAGCATGGAGGACAGCTTGATGGTTCTGGGCTCTCTAATGAGCAACAGGTACTATGCTAAACCCTTTTAAAAAGTCTGGTCTATTTATCAGCTTATCTTAACATCCTGGAAAAAAATATGTTAATTATTTCAGGTACAACACACCTTTCAAGGCTCAGATTCAAAAGTGGGTACAGTACTTGTCTAACACAACGGACATTATTGAGAACTGGATGACTGTACAGAATCTGTGGATATACTTGGAGGCTGTCTTTGTGGGTGGAGACATTGCCAAACAGCTTCCAAAGGTAGGAGCTTGCACTGTTTACCTGGAGAATCTGGAGATAGGTTGAGGCAGCCTGAGGACTCTGACATAATTGATCCTAGCAGTTCAGTACACATCTCAACAATCTTCAGACAATCAGCTAGCAAATCAGCTGAAGACAATCTTCAGATCACTGCAAAAGAATGGAATCAGAACTGGCGAACACTGATTGATGTTTATAGTTTATCGTTCATGTTTATAGTTGTTAAAACAGTTGAGGCCCCTCCCTCCTTTGTGTCTTGAAACAGGAAGCCAAGCGTTTTTCTAACATTGATAAATCCTGGGTGAAGATTATGACCAGAGCTCATGAAATACCAAATGTGGTCCAGTGCTGTGTTGGAGACGAAACCATGGGACAGCTGCTTCCCCATTTGCTGGATCAGCTGGAAATTTGTCAGAAGTCTCTTACAGGGTGAGGCTGGCGACTTAGAAACCTTTCAGTAGTGGACAGTCAGTTATGGTTGCACTCAGAAGCAGAGCTAGCAAAACCAGGCCTGTTCCTCCTCCACCTCCCAAATTCCCTAGCTAACAAAGGCACTTATCCAAGCTGTACTAAAAGCAATTATGTTCCATTTATTGCAACAAGTATGTGCCATAGTTTAACACTCCTTCAAGTGTTGAAGGAATAGCCTCCAGCTGTTGACATTATGCTCAGCACTAGAAACTACACAGTTTGAGATATTAATTTATCTCATAGTAATCTCTATAAAATAAGACAATGTAGGCTATAATTTAAGACCTTTGTCAAAGTATGCAAATTCAAAGATGAAGAATCTGCTGAGTATCTCCTTCTCTGTTACAATTCTGGTGTGGTAGTTTTGAATATCAAAAAGTGGAGCCCATATTATTTAGTTTTTGTTGGAAATGCCCTTAGCTTTTAAAATACTGTTCTTGGGCTTAGATGGATAGAAAAGAAGTTACCTTCAACCAAACCCAATCCTAAACCTACCATATTCATGGTAATAATAATAATTGTGTGCTGTCAAGTTGATTCCAATTTATGGATATCCTTCTCAGGATTTAATAGATATAAAGTACTCGGAAATGGTTTACCACTGTTTTCTTCCGGAGTTGCTCTGGGATATGTATTTGCCCAAGGCTATGCAGGCTGGCTCTTCTCTGAAGAGGCACATTAAGGAGTTGAACCCCAGTACTCCAACTCAGTAAGGTGTCCAGGCAGCTGTCTATTGGGAAAAAGGAACAAGAGATAGCACCAAAAGAGGCAACTAACTGAGGTCAATGGTCAATATAAGAATTAACCTTTGACCATTCACAAAGCCCCTTTGTACTAGCTAGCAAAGAAGCCCAGGAGTCATCAGTTATCTGTTGTTGTTTTTAACTTGGGAGACTACAATATATACTTTGGAACAAGCCATTATATTAAGCTGAGATTGTTTGTGGCCAACAGCCCATTTAAGGCAAAACTCCAACTATAGTCTCTTGGATTCCCCATAGCCTGAGGAAGAGATTGGAAGTAAATGAAGCTTCCTGATATCTTGAACTTGGTAGTTCTTGTTAGTTTAAGAGCCAGGAAACCTGGTGCTATCAACGCTCATTACCTCTGTTATTGACTATGTTGGTTGAACCATATGGGAGCTGTACTCCAAAATGCCTGCAGTAGCCCACTCCATTAAACTATCACTTATTCAAAGAAGCCAAGATTATAAACAAGGTTGATCCTGGTTTGTTTGAGCAAAGAATAATTCGAATAAACAGAATCCCCGGTATTCAAACATTACAAGCACCTCTGGTTTAGGTGCAAACAGAAGGAAAAACTTTTTGTGCTCATTATCATGCCAAAGGAGGAGTAAGAAAAAAAGGGGTGCATGGATGCAAACATTGTGCACATGATATAGCCTAAAATGCTTGTGTTCCTTGTACTCCAAAAATTTATTTGAATAAACCATGCAACTTGAAATATTTTAAATATTTGAATGAAACCAAAAATAATTATTGGACTAACACTATTTCAAGTCCATTTATGAGCTATTCTAGATACAGCTCTGCCTTTTTCTTGCTGGTTTATCATCGTGTTAGGCATACCTGGATGATAAGCAGTCTTCTTTATTTCATGAAGGTTTGCTTATCACCCTTCCATGCCAGGTAGTAATGTCAAAGCATATTAAGTTCCCTGGAGCAAAGTTTGGCTCAAAGTCTGTGATTAATGATGTATTCTCATTTGGTTGGTTTAGAAAAATTGTGTTATATAAATTTTCCATATCGCTTTTGTTTTTGTTGACATGCAGGTATTTGGAGAAAAAGCGACTATCCTTTCCTCGTTTCTTCTTTGTCTCAGACCCTGCTTTGTTGGAGATTCTGGGCCAAGCATCAGATTCTCACACAATCCAGGCTCACTTGCTCAATGTCTTCGATAACATCAAATCTGTAAAATTCCATGAAAAGGTGTGTTTAACTGTAACTTTGGTCTTACAATGAGAGTAATAGGGTCTGAATGCCTGCCAGTTCTTCATGCAACCAAATTTTTACCTCAGAAGTTTGAATTAAGAAGTCACCCTGGGACTTAATTAAGTCAATTCAGCTTGCGGCTTATAACCCGTCCATCCGTCAATTGTAGTGTCCATTCCCTTTTGAACATAGAGTAGAGCAGGAGCCATTTTCTCATGGTAGGTACTGCTGCTTCTGTCATGTATAGCACTTTTACCTCAGGTAAAGCAGAGGAAAATGCCATGTTTTAATTTAGCTCTGAATATCTAGTGGTCAAATTAGACAATATGTTTATCGTATCTTTTTGCAGAGGTGCTCCTCCAAATGGAGAAATACGTTTGGCAAAACATATGATTTTTACTAACTCAACCCTGCATTTTTGTTTAATTTAAAAAGATCCACCATATTCTCTAGGTACTATGGAGTGGGAATTCATCACATTTTGGAGCTTTCCTGACTTGTTTTTGGTACATGGTCTGGTATGCTAAAATTTAACCAGTTTCAGTTTTGGAAAAATCTCCTTGAGGGCCTAAATCAGACACAATGGCCCAAAACTTGGCAAATTGCTCCCTCTACCTTCTAAGCACTGCTGCCCTAGGGTAAGGGGGAAAAAAGGCAAATTATGGGCCATGGACAGCACATATGGCCTTCTAAGATATTGAGGGTATATATAGTGTTTATACCTTTGGAAGTAATCCCCCCTATTCTGGGACATCACATTCACTCCTCTTCCCAAACATCCTCTGAAGCACCAGACTGAGTGCTAATAATGGAAGGAAAGGCAGAAGGACCATTAATGGAATCCACAAGCCCCATTCTGATTGCTTCCAGTTTTAGCCAAGCTTACCCCCCACTATCCTCTCAGAACCAACAGAAAAGATACCACGTAAGATGGTAGGGAGAGCTTTCTGATACCTTTGTAAGACTTCAGAGAATGAACAGATTTGAAATGTAAGCTCATGAGAGTCTATTAATTTGTTGAGTTTAATTCTCTCATTAACTCCTGTAGGAAGCTTGCACAAGTAGAAAGAAAAACTTGATTTGAAATGTTAGAAAAGGAGGTTGCAGCTGGCTGTATAGCTCAGTGGATTGGAGCACCTTGATTCTCTTGTGTGCCTCCCCAGAGGAGAGCCAGCCTGTGTAGCCTTGGGTAAGCTGCACAACGTGAGAGTATCCCCAGAAGAAGGGAATGGTAAACCACTTCTGAGTATTCCACTCCTAGGAAACCCTTGAAAGGATCAGATAATTCATTTTATGTGATCATTTTTTTTAAAAGGCAGTCCTTTAGGGAAAATTTATTTTGATCTTCCTGTTTGTTGTTGTTGTTGTTGTTACAATAGCTGAGTTACGTTGCAGCCATTAGAGAGAAAAGATAATAGATCACTACCGTGCATCATTAAATAATGTAACAACAGATTTGTGTGTAATTACAAAACTAAGTATTTTTCCTGTTTTCTGAGTAAAAACTTCTAATATTGAATTCTCCCTGCAAACTAGATATACTGCCCCTAAAATCCTGAAGAGCCCCCCTGGATAGGCCCACTTCACTGGTTGAGAATAACTCATGTGGGATATAATGAAGATCTCACTTGTCATTCTTAAAAAATAATTAGCAGCTCATGTGAAACTTTAAATAATGCTTTATGTGTTGAAGAGTTAACCCCTCCCCTCTGTACAATACCCTCATTCTAAATTACTCTCCTCTGATAGCTAGAGCAAACATATAGGTGTTGTCGAGCATGTAGTTCTCACATTAAAATTTACTGAAGAGAAAGGGAAATACTACAGAGCCTCCATAGCTTGAAACAGTGACATAAAAGCCAACACGGGGAAGTCACTTTTTTATTGCATGACAATTCCTAGACTGTGAGCCATAATCTGTCCAAAGTCTGGTAAAGTGTTGTGCATGGAAATCCTAAGGTGAATGAGAGTAAATTTCCCCAGCCAGCCCAAGTTATGTCTCTCTTTAGCACTTCCCTTGAGTCTTTCCTTGAAGAGGATGCTCCACTATGTTTCTGTTTAATGCTGACCAACTTCAAAAAGTAGGGTCACATCAGATCTCAGTCAAAGCTTAGAAAAGTAGCTTTTAAAGCAGGCTTGTCCAACCTGCGGCCCGAGGGCCGCATGCAGCCCAGGTCGGCTCATAATGCGGCCCAGTGCAATTTTTTATTTTTAAGAAATTCCAAAGTTTCAAGTTACACTGCCGGCACTTGCGGCTGGAATGTGGCTGGGGCACGTCACAACGGTGGGAGGGGGAGAGGGAAGGAAGGCAGGAGTGGGAGGGGAGGGAACAGGGGAGCTGCATGACTGCATTGTGCTGTCCCCGTCAATAGGTGGACCCCTCCCGGCCCCATAAAGCCGTCGGAGTCGAAGCTGGCAGCCTCTGCTGTTTGAGATCGCAGCTGCCAGTAAGCGCGCTTGGAGCGGGGCTGCGGAGGATGGCTAGGGCTGCCCCCCCATGCAGCCCAAACCAAATTTATGTGCGGCTCAAACCAAATTTTCAAACCAAATCTTCTAATGTGGCCCAGGGAAGGTGAAAGGTTGGACACCCCTGTTTTAAAAAATACAACTACATTTGAGCTATGTACTATATAATACTGGTGCATTCTGGGAGTTGTGGCCTGCAAAAGTTGTCCATTTCTAAAAAAGGAATGCATAATGATTGAATGATTTGATGCAGATTTTTCACACAATATGTACAATTTGCAGGTTTATGACCGGATTCTTTCCATTTCATCTCGGGAAGGTGAGACTATTGAACTGGAAAAGCCTGTAATGGCAGAAGGAAATGTGGAGGTTTGGCTCAACTCCCTCCTGAAGGAGTCCCAGAGTTCTTTGCATCTGGTGATTCGACAGGCAGCGGCAAGTATTCAGGAACCAGACTTCCAACTAATAGAATTTCTTTCTTCCTTCCCTGCCCAGGTAAGTTTCTTATTTTATTATTAATTTTAGAGTCTATTTTCTTTTGTATTTTCTTTAATGAAACAGAAATGAGATGATGATACCAATTATTAAGAGGCTGGGTTTGATACAAAACCCTGTGCATATCATCACATATATTAATCCTTTCTCCAGGATGTCCTCCCAGTAGTGGTAACACCATTACGTTGATGTTCTATATTGAGTTTCGTAGGCTACCATTTAAGCAGGTAACAGTAGAATTACTTCAGCTTTGAACTCTGGTTTTGGGTTCTTAAGAAATATTGTTACTTCTCTGCTATGTCGACTGGCTTAGTTTTAGTGTTAAAACAACAATAACCCAAAGTTGCTTCAAGAATTGTATTTAACATCATGTATCATAATACCCAGAGAGAGAGATAGAAAGGCAGCAAAGAGAAATATTCATATGAAATTTCCTCCGATGAACAAAGCTTAGTGTTTGAGCCATAACTTTCTGGAGGGTGATATCATCAAATCATCAGTTCCTAGCTGAAATGGGAATATTTGATTGATTCAAAGGCAGCTGTGAGAAAAAAAAAAAACAAGTGCGCCCCCATTTTCATGATTGACTAGCCTCATCTGAAATAAAGTGTATATTTGGTCTGCCAATGCTTTCCTCTCTTAACTCATTCCTGCCGCACAGAAGTTTCTTCTAGTGCAGGCTTCTCTAAAGTAATGCCTTAGACTGTGACTTCCTTTGAGCTGCTGGGGATGATGGGACTTACAGTCTAATATATCTAGAGGGTGCCAGCTTGGGTAAGCCTGTTCTTGTGGTACAGAACAACTCCTGCCTTGTTTCGGTTTCTACACAATCGGTTGCTGGTTATCGCTTCTCCCTTAGTGGCTTCTAGTGTTGGTGTGCTTGTTCCATCTTATATGCCGCCCCCTCTACCCAAAGGTCTCTGGGCGGCTTACAACAATTAAAATACAATAAAAATACAATAAAAAGATAAAACAATTAAAATACAATTAAAATGTTGCTCAAGATCCAGTGCAACTGTTAACCTTTCACATGTCTTTCCTTTCTACATTTCCTCTGAGAAGTTCAAGTAGAGCTGATGTGCTTATAATGACCCTACATAAAGTGTGAAGACTAGGAGGAGCTTCTTGTCCACAGTCCATCTCCATTCTAGCTCAAAGGTTCCCTGTCCCCATTCCATCTGATTTAGATTCTGCCTGCCCTAATTCTTACTATAGAAAAAGGAAGCCAGGTTTCAGTGTTCCTGAAGATTTAAGAAACTAGCTTCAAAACATGCTTAGCAGCACAACCTAGTTAACTTCAACTGTAGTCAGGCTTGGTGACAATACAAGCCTTCAGCAATGGATAAATTTGTACAATGGATAAAGTTGAGTGTAATGCAGTAATCTGAAGGACTACAGTATTGAGGAGAGCTCTTTGTTTGCACATGTTCTCATTTTGAAAGGTTGCTGACTCCAAATCTGGTTTGAATAAATGGAATGATAAAAAGAGAGCATTTGGGACAGGGTTGTTGAAATTGCCTATTAGCTCTTAGCCTCTGGACACTAAGCTGAACAGGCACATAGATTCCCTACTTACAGTTTTCATTTCCTGGTAAAGTGAATTGTGTTAAATTATAGTAATTAATTCTACATTTGGATGTATGTGTGTGTATATAT